ATCGGCATCTTTACTGAGTCGGTGGAACTATTGCTACTAGTGCGTGCCAAACGACTCCCATAAACGAGTAAATATCTACGTACATTTCAGGAGATGCGTTCAGGGAACGAAATCGGTTCCCAGCTCGAGGATCACTCGAAACGCCCACCAATACTGAGCTACCCCTTACGATGGTAATCCAAATATCACGGTCTTGTCAACTTTTGCAGCGCAGATAACACAGTGCCCGCGGCACAACACGTGCGTAGTCACAGCACAACATTGCCTTAGGTCGGCCACGGGGCGCACAACCAGACATCAGACATCAATGAAGTGCCGTTCAAGGACCATGCGTCCTTCCCATCTTGGGCTGTCACCAAAGAAAATTTGTTCCAAACTACAGTCGCACCAACTACAAACTACAAGCTACAGCCCAAACTAGTCGTAAAAAATAAACGAGCTCGAACAATGCGAGCAAATATAAAATAACTTGAATCGACTCCCTCGTGCGTAAATTTCGTACAGCGCTGGTACGGTACTATCCCGCCCTTCGCATTGAGAGCCGGGTTCGTTAGTTTTTTAGCCTGACTGGTTGGCCATACATCACGGCATTTCGGGAAACCAGACCGGCGTATGGAACGAGAGCGACGACCTTGATTTCGCTCTATCGGCGGCTCAAGCAGGAGTTTATGCTTGGCTTTCACATCGCATCTCATATAGGTTGTACTGATAGCACTTGCACGTGCAACGAGGGGCCGCTGGTTCCCAACTGGGCTGCGGGTGTATGCTTGTATATATTACACATGATATTTCTCATTACCTCATATCTCAATCGCTCATTATACTTCTACACCCGCGCACACACCCACATCTATAATATACATACCGCACACTTAGCCACGGGTGCAACCAAGGTAGCCCACTGCCAGCCGTCAGGTGCAGTATTTAGAACTGCTGAAACCTATATGATTTGCAATATGATATCTGATGATCTTGTCAGTTCATTCCGCCATTGTTCAAACGTCTGCAACGCTTCGGAAAGCATCTATGTAATATCACGGAACACCTGAAATCGGCTCCTTTCCTAAACGTTCTTTGGGAAACACAGATGCAAAACGTCTACTTTGATGTGCTGACAAAAGACACGCACGGAGACAAAGCGCTCTATTGCTACTTCATCGTCCTATGAAGTAGCAGTAGAGCGCTTTCCGTCTCCTGACTGCGAAATTTCGCGTTAATGACTGCTCGGCCGGAAAGATTAACCTCACGAGCGTGAAATTTTCACCGTCCAGGCTGGTGCAGACGCCCGGCTTTCACATGACGTCACATATATACAGATCGGGCCTATAAGGTGGCAGTATGATAACACACCGTCTTCAACCTTTACCATTTGTTTTGCGTTTTGTGGTTTTTGAGCCAGAACAATTCATGTTAAAAGATCACATTTCTGCAGCCCACATTATTTGCACAAAGGGATGTGACACGGCGGCGTTCTGGCGCTAACCAGTCAGTTCACCTTAAGTGTGGTATTGATGGCCGATTCTGTGATTTGTGTTTCCCGGCTCACAACGGGGTGGATGCCGGTTTTGAGACGAAGCTCCCTTAAAGCGCAATAATTCTACACAAAGGCGGCATATAGCCACCTATACATTTCACCTTCGGGCTGAACACGAACGTCGAGCTTGAGCTTCGCTTTTTGGCACATGGACTAGAGCTTGCACTTGGACTGCACGTGCAGCGTTACCTGCTTAACTTGGACTTTGTCTTGACACAGCCTCGCAGTTTTTTCTGCGGGATTGCTTGATGGTAAAAGGTGGCGTTTCGGAAGCTCAGGTTAGAATGGATCCTAGCTTTCACAAGTCACCTTACTTTTACAATGTGCACCATACAGCGGCAACGCGGCGCTTCCACAGGGCACCTTACTTTCGACAATATGTACCATACAGCGGCAACACGGCGCTTCCACAGGGCACCTTACTTTCGACAATATGCACCATACAGCGGCAACACGGCGCTTCCACAGGGCACCTTACTTTCGACAATATGCACCATACAGCGGCAACACGGCGCTTCCACAGGGCACCTTACTTTCGACAATATGCACCATACAGCGGCAACACGGCGCTTCCACAGGGCACCTCACTTTTACAATATGCACCATACAGCGGCAACACGGCGCTTCCACAGGGCACCTTACTTTCGACAATATGCACCATACAGCGGCAACACGGCGTTTTCACAGGGCACCTTACTTTCGACAATATGCACCATACAGCGGCAACACGGCGCTTCCACAGGGCACCTTACTTTCGACAATATGCACCATACAGCGGCAACACGGCGCTTCCACAGGGCACCTTACTTTTGACAATATGCACCATACAGCGGCAACGCGGCGCTTCCACAGGGCACCTTACTTTCGACAATATGCACCATACAGCGGCAACACGGCGCTTCCACAGGGCACCTTACTTTTGACAATATGCACCATACAGCAGCAACACGGCGCTTCCACAGGGCACCTTACTTTCGACAATATGCATCATACAGCGGCAACACGGCGCTTCCACAGGGCACCTTACTTTCGACAATATGCACCATACAGCGGCAACACGGCGCTTCCACAGGGCACCTCACTTTTACAATATGCACCATACAGCGGCAACACGGCGCTTCCACAGGGCACCTTACTTTCGACAATATGCACCATACAGCGGCAACACGGCGTTTTCACAGGGCACCTTACTTTCGACAATATGCACCATACAGCGGCAACACGGCGCTTCCACAGGGCACCTTACTTTCGACAATATGCACCATACAGCGGCAACATGGCGCTTCCACAGGGCACCTTACTTTCGACAATATGCACCATACAGCGGCAACACGGCGCTTCCACAGGGCACCTTACTTTCGACAATATGCACCATACAGCGGCAACACGGCGTTTTCACAGGGCACCTTACTTTCGACAATATGCACCATACAGCGGCAACACGGCGCTGCCGTGTTCTATGACTGAGTGTGACTTTGAAATTCTCACTCTATCTGCGCCTCTTGGAAGCCCGGCCTATAATCGGCGCTTGGGCTTTATACATTACATTTGCGCGGATCGCTTTCATAGAGTGGTCGCACCGCGTTAAACCGTCCTTTTGATGTCGTCACGTTGCATGCACGGCTGTTTGGCCTAAAATCTCATTGAACTATGCCGTTTATGCAGTCCACATTGGAATGGATGCATGGTTTTCATAGGTGAAAATCGGTCCCACAGAGTTGCATGACAACGCTTCCCATCGTTCGACTTTGCTTTCGACAATTTTCGACACTGAATGTTGGCTTTTAGAAAATACATTCTGTGTCCGCCCTGACTGGGGCACCGTATTTTTCATAATACTTTCATGTGAGAGGCAAACGGCTTGATTTCGTCCTTTTAACTCACCATGTCATAGGTCACAGAAAACACCATGTGATGGACAACGTACCACATGTTCGTAAACTAATGGGACTGTCTGATCCATAGTCGCCTTCTCACCGAATCGGTGCTCGACGTCGAATTCGAACACCAATGCGCTGCAAGCTTACTGAGCGGTGGGCTTCATCCCAAAGGCCGACAGTGACATCTATGCGCCGGCCACAGAACTGCACCTAACACGCGGCTCAGCATTCAGCATTAAAATGCTCGGAAACGTTTCCTTCTCGCTTGTTACGGTGCTGCTATGACAGCGTGGAGGGTTCTTTTCACAAAGCATGATGCGCGCGGCTGGTTCGAAGCAAGGCACAGGGCAAATCGGATTGCAACACACGCTGCCCCATACATCATGCCACAAAGGAATAACTCAAGCACAGGCAGTTATACCGACGGTCCCAAAGGAAAGCCGAAGGAAACGTGCTGCATGCAAAACATTAGCGATTATCCTGCATACACGCCACCGACCACTCACCAGCAACCCGTGCAACAGCATGGCAATCCGCCTCCAGAACATTCGAAAATACAATCAATCAGCGAGGTCGAAGCGACAGCCCTGCATCGCTCGCAACCTGATCTCGTGGCTATCCATTGCCAACGTGTGAACATCAATGCCAATATACCACTACCTCGCCGTGGTACGGCATCATCAGCGATGTTGTATCAACCATGCATCTGCGTTTCCCTCCACTCCGATGATCGATTATCGCCATTAAGCCGTGTTCTACCATCGCAAAACACAGACGTGTTGATAGCTTTATATTTCGTCAGTGCGGTATGACCGCGGAGCAGTTGATGCTCCAAATAGTGAACTCGTCGGACAACATAGGGTCGGATCAACACACGCGTTCAGCACATCGTTTCCGAGGCACACAGCTGAGAAGTGAAAACCCACTACGGACTTCGTCGGGAAAGGGACACCACTCCACTAAAACTGCGCTCCCGTGCCACTTTGAACAGCGTGTCCCTCGAGCCACATTGGTAAGGTATGGAGCACTTGCACTTAATGAATAACTCCTTGATCGAGGCAAAAGATGACCATACCAAAAAATAATACGCGGCTCTATTTCACGTTTCAATGCAATATGATTGCGTTCAAGGGAGTGTGCTCTGTTCCTTTCACACGGGTGATCTAGAGAGGGTGACACCTTGCGCAGCACGGTCTTCGTGACGCCAACGAGGATTCAGCACGCACCGGTGCACAAAAGGCGGTGCAAATGCAGCAACTGTATGCAGCGTGGGCTGTGCAGCTGGTCAAGGCACCACAATCCGAACTGTATCGGCGATCGGCAACGCAGGCATGCTGCCTTGGACCCAATGCAGAGCAAAAACAGCACACACCAGTTTCGAGGCCTCAATGAACTACATCAGACCAATAGCTGGCAGTCATTTAGCACCGTGGGTGTCGTTCAGCGATCCGCCAGTCGCCAAATCACCGATGACGTCACGGCAACCGCGCGATCTAATTACCGCTGTCACACTTTCTTCGACCGGAGGGCACCCTCCTGATTGCGTCAGACCACCCGCACAACCCAAAAAACGCGCGAAACGAACGGCACCACCCTCTGCAATACGCTATCACTTCCTGCGCTTCTTTTTGTTGCCGGTAGGTGGCGCGCGCGCATTCGGGTTGCGCCGCTCCCAGTTGGGCACGTGCCTGAGGCGGGCGTTCCTGCCGAGCTGGGCGGCGCGCGAGTTGACGTCGTTGAGCGAGAACGGCGATCCGCCGGCCACGAAGTCCTCCGACAGGATGGCGTTCTGGGCCTGCCGGTCCGCGGAGGGCGGTCACGACGGGCTGCGCAAGCTTCGAGGCGCACCCGGGCGGTTACACCGAGACCAGTCTTCTTCTGGATCCACAGAGACCTAACCACGGCGTCTTTCTAGGACTGAGGTACAAACTGGGTTGAAAGCGTTGCTGTCTGATGGAGCTACGGGCCACAGCGCACGAGAGGGACGCCGGCCTGCCCTAAACACCACTCTATCCCCAATGCTATTCCCAGAAAAGCCAGCAATTTAATTTATCGTTGGAAGAGATGACCACGACACGTACCGCCCGGTGGCCAAAGCGCGGAAGAGGCGCCTCTCTGACCTGGGAACGGGCGGTGGCGCGTCGCTGCGGCACCGGCTGGTCCTCGCACAGGATCGGAGACACCGAGTACTTGCCGCCGCGAGGCAGCGGCAGCGAGAACTTGGTGCCCCGCTTGCTGATCTCCTTCCGCGTCGAGATGTGGATCTGCTGCGTCCCGTCCGGCCTGTCGTCACACGCGTCACGCTTTGAGTGAAGGTGGCAATGTACTGATCAAGATGCGGTGAACGGTGATCAATATAACGTTACTGCAAGAGATGCTATAACTTAACTACTAACCTCAATTCAGACTTCTTCCCGAAAGTTTACTGATAATGCTTTCTGCCGACTTTTACCATGGCAAATGACACACAACACACCAGTCCGGTCAGAGGTTACTTCTATGCATGGCACTGCTCCCTCGAATTTTCGGAAAGTCTCCCAACTCCACACCATTGTCGCCCAGCCCCCCTCCCCTCCCCCGCGTACCGCAACGTGACGGCTACACGCTTGAGCGTCTTGTTGCCACACCACGGGCAGAACGTCTTGTCCATGCGCGGCGTGGTCTGCATGCAGCCGAAGCAGCGCAAGATGAAGCGACGCGCCTGACTGATGCGCCGGCCTTCCACCGACACCATCTCCAGGTTCATCTTTTTCAGTACGTTCTGCATGGTGAAGTCGGTCGTCATGCAGGCAACCTGTGGGACAGGGCCGCACACAGAGCCGTCAGTTGGTGTTCCGGCACGTGACATCCCGTCGTCACATGGCGTTCGGACATATGGGATTTCGGAACCGGGAGCAGAAAACTATACGTTTCTGTGGGATTGTATCAATGCTTCAACATTTGCCTCAAGGGCATGCCATTACTGCCATGTACCATTATGAGCAATAATCGTGCATTATGAGTCAGAACCGTGTGGCCCGGGTAGCGACTTTAATCTCCTCTAAACTTCCAGAAAAAAAATCGGAACATGACCGTCACTGCTCCCAAAGCCAACTGGGAGTATGCAAGAGTTGTTGACACCCCATAACAAATGCGTAGGAGCAGTGCTACGGCATAGGACTCGTCCATCACGAAAACAACAGCAAAAAGCTGCATCATAGCTCAAAAAGCTGCAAAACAAGTCTGCTCATCCTGCGTCTGGAATGGTCACCACGGCAGCAAAACACCGTGGACGTACCTTGACCGGTTCTTCCGTTTCGCCAGCCTGCGCGCTCAGTGTGGACTTGGCTGCCTGAATGTTCCCGGGCGTTATCCAGCCGCCGTCGTCGCCGTCACTGTCGTCGCCGTCGTCCCCGTTCGCCTCGTCGACACCGTCGCTGGCCTCGTCACCCGTGTCGTCGTCGGGCGTCTCCTTGGCGTCAAACATCTCCTCGCTGGGCGGGTCGTCGGCGTTCTCGGCCGCGTCCTGGTCGGCCGCACCGCCCCCGCCAGCGTCCCTCCACTCATCAGCCGGGTCCGCCGCGCCGGAGTCCCCGCCACCGCCGTCGTCGCCGCGCCCCTCCGTCGGCGCCGCCTCGTCGCCGTCCTGCGGTGAGCCTTGGCCCGGCGCGCCGCCCTCCGTCTCCGGCGCGCCGTCCTCCGTCTCCGGCGCGCCGTCCTCCGTCTCCGGCGCGCCGTCCTGCGCGGCGTCCACGGCCAGCTGCGCCACCTGCTGCGTGACGAAGCCGACCGGCAGCGGCGCGCCGCCGCCCTGGCGCGGGTGGTAGTGGTGCAGCTGGGGGCGCGCGTCGGCCGGTGGCCGCAGGCGCAAGTGCGCCGCGCCCACTGTCTCGCGCGTCACCTGCAGCGTCAGCGCCAGCACGCGCACGTCCGTCAGCGAGAGGAAGCGGAAGTCACCCGTCTCCCTGGCGAAGTCGGAGATGAGGCGGACGCATTCGTCGCTCGGCTCCCTCAGCTTCAGGTCATATGGCAGCACCTGGAGACGCTCGCGCGTCGCCTTATCGCGGATCTCGGCCACCACGTCCGGCACGGTCAGCACCTCGTGCGCCATCTGGTGCAGTGGCACATTGCGCAAGAAGGCCGCCGAGTCAGCGACCACTTTGTCGATGTATGGCTCTGTGATCATCCTGAAGCTTGTCTTGACTGGAAGCTCTGCAGAAGCTGAGGAGAGCAGAAGTAAAAAAGTGGTGATGGTGATCTTAGGTAACTCAAGATCTAACTCACATCCTTCATATTTTTTTCTACTGAAAATGAGCCATGAGACTGAGGGATATCTGGCAGCTTTGGAGTCACCATTCACACAAAATTGTGACTCTCCAGCATAAATAATTTGAAGTTTCAGCAGCATGCAGCCGGGCCAGTGCTGTTTGATGTGTTATGCCATTGCATGGGTGTCTGATGCAATGGATAGTTTTTCCCTGACTGGCATGTAGGTAGTGATTTCCCAAGTTCTATACCAACTGAAAAAATTCATTACTGGGTTGCCACAGACTCAAATGCAGTCTAAATGATACCAATGTGCTGACAGTGATAGATTAAGAGATCATGCTGAGGATATACACATTTGTTACCATTCCCACCCACAGCAAATCATCCACCATGCAAGACACTTACATGACAGTGTGCTAAGCCTGAGGCATGCATCCAAACTCAGGCCACACTACACTGTTCTGATTTTTCAACCCACTTTTGCTGAAGAAAACTTTTGAGCATTTGGCTCAAAATTACTTTAACAACATCATAACTCCTTGGCACATCAGTTTCATGAAGTGAAGTTCATGACAGCCATGCATAAAACTCAGGGCAGCCAGATTTATGATGTGCATGCACTTTGCTACTGTGCCATGTATTTTACATGTTACACATATTTCATGTGGTCTGGCTGCTTCCCAGGTGGGTTCAATAAAATATATTAGCAGCTGAATCATATTCCATGAAGAAAAAATGCAGCTCAATGTTATCCATTTTTTCTACTGTCCAGAGCATATTCCACTATGAGACACCCGCAAGATCTGGTGATGGATCTCACTCAAAATGTCACAGCAAAGTGGCAGGCAGCTATCTGGCAATATCACTACCCACTACCCACTGGTATTTGCTGGCTCTAGGTGGTCATTTCTTGTAACCTCATGTTAATACAGAGTACTGGTAACGAGCCCATCACAAGAAAAACATGCACATATTTGCACATTGGACATCACACCCTCCAATTGGTTTATAAAAAGGGTTTTGTTGCAGACCCAATCTTTGTTTCATCACATACAATATATCTGCTTCCAGCCTTCAAAAGTACACATTCCTTTGCATAAACTATGGCTGTAACAATTGTGGCACGAATGGCCATCATGGGAACACAGTCGTAACAAGTCAGACAATGGCACCGTTATCGTAACGGGACATACTAGCTGCCTCGTCATGGCGAACAATACCCAGCCTCAAACTGTCAGAAATATCACCTGGGATACTTACTATTTCAGGACACAGACCTCTCAGGCAGAACAAGATAAGCCATATACAGCACACGCGACGAAACCACCGATCCCCTCCATACGCACGTATAATACTTTCGCACGCGTCGACTGCTGTCCCACACAAACACGAGGTCTCAGACGATAAGAAACATTAGTGTCACATATGTCCCAAGATGGTGCTACCATATCGTCCCTCCGGTAGGCGATTTACTCAATCTGGTAGTGCTTTCTCTCCATGCTGACGAACCGATAAAAAATCTTGTCAGCAGCGCCAGCCATCGCGTGACGTAAAAAGCTAATTGACTGTGACTTATTGACGTAGAGAAAATACTGGTTGTTGGTGCTGGGTGTTGGTGCTGACGACAGATCAAACGCGCCCTTAATGAACATCCGACGCTTTTTTGCCACGGTCATAGAGAACGCGGCGCCCCCGATTCCACACGCATTTGTCCTCAGACTGCTGGCCCGTCTGCAACAGCTTCATGCATTTGGAGACCACCTCAGCGCCACGTAATAGCTACTCTGAAGGCAGCGCTTTCCACTGCGCATCAACATTGTCGCTACTTCTTCCATGTTTTCCCGAAGGGCGTCCGTCGCAGTCGTGTTATGAAATTAAACAGATGCTGTCCCCACCTCATCGCCACTCGCCAAACACCGAAATCATTGCATGCATGGGGCATGAGTTAACTTGGCTGCTCCCTGTGCAGTATCACGTCTCAGAGATATCATCCAGTTAACGTGTATTCTGAGTGACGGACAGATAGACGTAGGAAGATGGAAACATGCCGTATTTGGAAGAAAGCTATCAACATATCCAGACACGTGCGATGTCAGTAAAACACATAGCCACACCAGAAAACAGATGACAATCGGAAGCGCATCCAACAGCAGCATAAGACCCGCCTCCGCGGGATTCAGCCTACCGCACGAGACCAGTTTGGGCCTACTGCAGACGTGAGCGTGGTTTCAGACGCGTGTCTCAGTGCTGCACGTCGCACAGGCTGGATGGCGCCACCGGAGCGGAAGAGACATATCGCACAGTAACGGCTGTCGGGACCGAGCGTCGGCGCACTGCGCGGACAGCGGGGCCGGCGCGGCCGTGCGCCTCGGCGGGGTGTGGTCAGTCACACCGTCGCCCGTCCAGTCGCCAGTTCACCAGCCAGCCATCTGACCTATCAAAAACACCTCGAGTCCGCTCTCAGCACCAGTCCACTATGGAGGCCGACCGGCCGGCCCGCGGCGTCCCGAGCTGCGACCGACGGCGGCCGCTCGCCCGCTATGGCACCGCTCGCTCCCAGCGACGTCGGCACGTCACTTCTTGCGGGAGCGCAGGCTGCGCGTCACCACCTTCCGGGGCGACACGTGCTTCTCGGCGATCTGAAACAGTCGGCGGACGTCAGGCAGCGCCAGCTGTGCCGCGGCACTCCGATCACACACGGCACACCGATGCGGGCGTCGCACAGCACCGACTGTGCCGCGGCACACCGATCACACACCGCACACCGATGCGGGCGTCGCACAGCACTGACTGTGCCGCGGCACACCGATCACACACCGCACACCGATGCGGGCGTCAGACAGCACTGACTGTGCCGCAGCACACCGATCACATACCGCACACCGATGCGGGCGTCGGACAGCACTGACTGTGCCACAGCACACCGATCACACACCGCACACCGATGCGGGCGTCGCACAGCAATGACTGTGCCGCAGCACACCGATCACACACCGCACACCGATGCGGGCGTCAGACAGCACTGACTGTGCCGCAGCACATCGATCACACACGGCACACCGATGCGGGCGTCGGACAGCACTGACTGTGCCGCAGCACATCGATCACACACGGCACACCGATGCGGGCGTCGGACAGCACTGACTGTGCCGCAGCACATCGATCACACACATCACACCGATGCGGGCGTCGGACAGCACTGACTGTGCCGCAGCACATCGATCACACACGGCACACCGATGCGGGCGTCGGACAGCACTGACTGTGCCGCAGCACATCGATCACACACGGCACACCGATGCGGGCGTCGGACAGCACTGACTGTGCCGCAGCACGTCGATCGCACACCGCTCACACTACGCATATAAATATTTGTGTTATTATATACCCCATGCTTACAAACATTTGAGTACGCGCTTAAAACGAACTTAATCCGCTACCAGCCTTTGCTTACGAACAATTATAGCGTACATAACTATCCCACAACCTTTAAATGCGAATAGTCGATATACGTGCTCCATACAGTACGAACATCTGCTTACAAACTTTTGCATACATACCACTTCCATGCAAACTCGATGACTCACGTATATTTGCTTACGCTTAATTGCGTAGGTACTTAATTGCGCATACTACTTTTCCATCCGACCTATCATCATTGTGTCGCTGTCTCCATTTGTACGCACTTTTTCACATGCACAGTTGTCTCAAAGCATAGCTTTAGTGTTCACTCCATTTAGTTGGGTTCATAATACCATTTTCGCCCGTAGCATCTATCTGGTGCTACACTCCTAAGAACAAGACAATGGTGTTATTACAATTCAATAGGAATATAACTATCAATTTCGTGAGCAAGGTCGAACGCGGATTAAAACGACTCCTCATGACGCTAAAATGACACTACATGACGTGCGCCGAGGGTGCATAACGCACCCCTGCCACGCCGCTGGCCATTTCGCTGCCGTTGCGTCTCCTGGAAAATAAACAGCGGAGAGGAAAACCCTATCGTGGTGATGACGTTGGTACTAAATCTGAACTAAGAAACACTGGCCACACTAAGCCACCCAGTAGTCCACAGCAAGACCACTAATGGAACCCAAACGCCACGCAAGCAAGCTGCGACGCGCGTCGGGTGCTGGAGGCGTGCCCCCTGTCTGCCCACCTCCACCGGCGAGCACTGCAGCATCTGGTCGGAGCAGCGCTTGAACAGCTTGCGCTTGGTGGTGGTGGACTTGGCGGGCCGGGCCGGCGGCGCCTGGTCGGCTGGCGTCGTCGGCTGCGTCTCGGTGATGGCGTCCAGCGGCGCCCGCGACCGACTGCTGCGAGACACCGACGAGCCGCTGCCGGCCGACGGACAGCGGTCACGCCGGGCCACCGCGGGGACGACCACGGAGGTCACGCAAACATATACACACACACACACACACACACATACGCACGCACGCACGCACGCACGCACGCACGCACGCACGCACGCACGGGGAACGTGCGTAACGGGAAGCTGGGAGGCTTGGTACACGCGGCACCAGGGGCACAGGGACGCATAATTAACATCGGGACTGTCATGCTCCTCGCTCTGCCTTCATGAACAGTCGAGTAAAGCTGACAGCTGAGTAAGGCTGTCACCAGCGGTGGTAAGATCACCGGCTCTCTGGATGTTGAGGGAGTGAGGCACGACAGACAGGGAACGTGAAGGGGAGCTGGGAGGCCTGGTACACGCGGCACCAGGGGCACAGGGACGCATAATTTGTTATGTACCGGACGACTCAGCCGATAAGCCAGGGCTGTCTGGTACATAACGATTCGCGATCCAGTACATATCAACGGGTGCCAGTTACTGGCACATAGCCATAAGCGATCGTCAGCGCGTGTGTGCTGCGGGTAACAATTCCAAACGACCAAGCCGATAAAGCGGCGTCGTTTGGAGCCGCGACCTGCAGCACACTTCTACCGGCCGCCGCTAGTCAGCGCCACTCACGCGTCGGACGCGTCCGGATCGTCGTTCTCGTCGGTGAAGTGGACCGCCGCCCTGGTGGTGCGGCGCGTGCGCCGCTGGGAGGCCGGCGGCTCGTCGTCGCCAGTCTGGTCGGCGTCCTGACCGGCCGGACGGGCTCAGCGTCAGCCAGGCTCAGCTCAGCACAGCGCTGCACCGTCCACATATGAAGGAGGCCAGCTGGCGGACCCGAGCAATTCAAAATCTCGATCGTTGCATGCAACACACTACTCTAAACAATCCTGATTTCGTCGGTACGCAGACCGCCGGCGACTCTGCACGTCGGGGTGGGCTCACCTGGCCTTCGACGTCGGAGGCGGCAGCGGCGCGCGGGGGCCGCCGGCCCGTGCGCCGGCCGGAGCGAGGTCGGCTCGGCAGGACCATCGGCGTCACCTCGGCCTCATCGCCGTCCGTGCCGGTCACCTGACGGCGCGGGCGGGGTCAGACAGGGCGCGGGTGGGGTCAGTCAGGGCGCAGGTGGGGTCAGGCGGGGCTCGGGCGGGGTCAGGCGGGGCTCGGGCGGGGTCAGGCAGGGCGCGGACGGGGCCAGGCGGGGCTCGGACGGGATTAGGCGGGGCGCGGGCGGGGTCAGACATGAGGGGCGCGGACGGGGTCAGGCAAGACGCCGGGCCATTGAGACACAGCGGTCACGGCGCCAAGCGCGGAGCAGCTGCGCTCGACGCCACAGCGGCGCCACTCGTCCGCGCGCCGGAAACTTCAGCCCGCCCAGCCGGGTTCCGGTGGGATCATTAACAGCCGAGGCGAAATATGTCACCAGTCAGCAAGCACAGCGCAGGGGTGTCCGGGCACACCCGGCCGTACACAGCCGCCGCAGCAGCCAGCCAGCCCGGGGACGGACGATCGCCAGGCTCCGTCGGCACGACCCCGCCCCGGCGTCCCCGTCCCACACACAGCCGTCGCCACCGTCCGCCCACCTCAGCCACGATGTCGACGGAGGGCGCGCGGGGGACGGCGCGACGCGGCGTGGGCGTGGGCGTGGGCGTGGAGGCGGTCAGCGAGGCCATGTCGTCGCGGCAGGAGCGCAGGCGCGCCTCCAGCTGCTCGATCCGGTCGTTCTTGCGTCGACTCTCGGCCCTGGCGACGTCCAGCTCCGCCTGGCGCACAGAACACGCCGCACGGATCCGGTGGGGTGCTGACACTGGGGTCGGTTTCAAACGGGACCATGCGCTTGCTTCACCAGTGGAAAGGCTGTCGCAGGTCAGAGACGTGCGAGTTATGGTGTATCTGATGCGCAGCACCACTGCGGTGTGCGTGTGTGACGTTAATCACCAGCGAATGTATCGAGCTTCTGTTCGAAATCCGTACAAGCTGATGAGACTAATTCAACACACGCCGTAACGTAACCAAACTAGCATTTGTGTCGCCGCAGCGCCGTTTCTTAGCTAGCATTGCTGCAGTGTAAATCAATCCAGCAAACGACCAATGCTCCTACCCAAACTGGATCAAACGAAAGGACGCACGGCACATTCAGCTGCGCATCAAAGCATCTTCCATCGTCAGAGGACGCACAGACGACTCGTTGGGGCACGCACAGCGGCATTTCTGACTTGCCATTCGGCGGATACAGACCATGTCACTCACGAACATTGCGACGGGCACAAGTCAGCCCGGCTCAACAAGACACGTCGCACACGCACGCCACGTCGGCCACAAGCGCCGTCGTCAGCAAGCGGCGAACACGGCTGTCTGTCGGCACCAGCGCCCGCGCCGCGCCCCGTCGCTCCCTGCTGGCGGCGCGCGCGTCCTCGGGCCGGCGCGGCGCGGCTCACCTTCAGCGTCGAGGACGACTTGGGCGTGAGACGCGCCATCATGTCGCGCAGGTGCGAGCTCTCGTGGCGCTCGCGGTTCAGCTCGTCGTTCTTGCGCCGCATGTTCTGCTCGGACATCTGCATCAGCCGGCAGCGCTCGTCGCGCACCTTCTGCAAGTCCTCGTCCTGCGGCCGTCCCGAGCAGAGCCGGTGAGAGCGGGTCGGCCCGCCCGCCCCGCACAACGGCGCCGGCGTGGCGGACGCGCCGCCGAGGCGAGACGAGGTCGAGAGTGGACATTGTGCTCAAGCAGATTTGGCGACACACTTTGAAAGAGCATGGGATTGCATTCGGGGAACAAAAGCACCAAACGGGCCAAGGACATCCCCCACAGAATAGTGTTTCACCTTTTCCGTCAGCTTTCCTTTGAGCATGTCGATTTGTATGTTGAGCTTGAGCAGTTCGTTGGAGCGCCTTTCCAGTTCATCCCTAAGGTGACTGGTCTCCGCATCGGACCGCTCTAGCTGGGCTCGGAGGTCGGTCACCTGCGGTCACAGGCGCACGTCAGCGGCGGCCAATCAGCAGCGAAGTGACGTCAGCGGCGGCCAATCAGCAGCAACGTGACATCAGCACCGGCCAATCAGCAGTGAGATGACGTCCGCAGCTATCATTAACAGGACACAACCCTGGCGTCCCCAGCCTCACAGGCAATCGCGAACACCAATCCCACTTTGTTTAAGAGACTTCCGTACAGGCAGGCTAAAGAGCGGCTGCAGACCCTCCAGGACGCGGAAAACGCATCTCCCTGGGACGGGTACTCAAGTGGGTTGGACACCCACACTCACATTGCATTGTCTGAGCTCCTCCTTCTTAGCCTCCAGTTCGGCCTTCAGGATGCCGAACGCCTCGTCCTCGCGCGTGAGCGCTGCCACGCGCGCCTGCAGCACCTCCACCTCGGTGTCGCGCGCGCGCAGCCGCTCCACCAGCTGGACGTCGCTCTGGTGGCCCTGCTGCAGCTGCGCGCGCATCTGCTTCATCTCCCGCTCGCAGACGGCTGCGTCCGCCTCCGCCTCCTTCTTGTCGTGCAGCGCGCGCTTGTACTCGCGCTGCAGGTGCTCCAGCTCGCGCTGCGCCTCGGCCAGGCGAGCGGCCACGCCAGCAGCGCCGGCGGCCGCCTCATCGTCGCGCTCCTCCTCGCGCTCCTCCAGCTGGCGTGCGGCCACATCGGCGCGGCACTTGAACTCGTCACGCTCCTCCATGACGGCGGCCAGCTGTTCGTCGAGTCTCTCGCGGCTCTGAGCAGCGCGCCGCTGCAGCTCCTGCAGACGCGTGTCGGCGGCAGCCCGCTCGGCGGCGGCGGCCGACTCTCGCTCGGCCAGCTCGACCGTGTGCTGCTCCGCCTGCTGCTGCAGTGCGGCCAGGTCGACAGCCAGCCGGTCCCGGTCGGTGCGCAGTTCGGCCAGCTCGGCCGAAAGCCGCTCGCTGGTCTCTGTAACCTGGGCTGAGTGGGCCTCTGCCGTGACCAGCCGCTCGCTGGCCGCCTGCAGCTCAGCGACCTCAGCCGTCTGGGCGGCGAGACGCTCAGTGAGCGAGCGCAGCTCAGCCGTCAGCCGCTCGTTGGCCGCCTGCAGCTCGACCGACTCAGCCGTCTTGGCCGCCAGCTGTTCGTCTGCCGCCTGAAGCTGGGCCGCGACTCGCTCGCTCGCTGCCCGCAGCTCGGCCTGGCCGGCCGTCTCGGCGGTCAGGCGCTCGGCGGCCGTCCGGAGCTCGGCAGCCAGATGGTCGCGCTCCTCCGACGCCCGGGTCGTCTCGGCCGTCAGCCGCTCGCCGGCCGACTGCAGCTCCGCCGTCAGTCGGGCGTTCGCTGCCTGCAGCGCGGCCAGCTGGGAGGTCGGCGATTCCGCCTCGGTGCCGGGCGCAGCGACCTCCTCCGCGACGGCACCGAGGACCTCTTCCGCAGCGGCAGCGGCGACCTCCTCCGCGGCGGCACCGGCGACCTCCTCCACGGCGGCACCGAGGACCTCTTCCCCAGCGGCACCGGCGGCAGCGGCGGCCTCCTCCGCGGCGACACCGGCGGCAGCGGCAGCGGCGGCGGTGTCCTGAGGCACGCACGCGACTCTCAGCGGCTGAGCGAAACTCCCGAGGCCGGGACGCCAAGCCAAAACAACTTCAAAGGAGGTGAGCCAAGCAACGAGGCCGCAGTGGGACAGCTGGCGCGCCGTCGTTTGACAACTGTGCTGGTCGCCAGCACGCACTGTAGGTCCCGGTTTCGGGGCCGACCGACTCACCTCCCGCTCCTGCGCCACCTGCTGCCGCTGCTCCTCCAGCAGCTGACGCTCAGCCTCTTCAAAACCGCACGTGTCGTTGAGGTCGGGCGGCGCCGAGCGCTTCTCGAGAGCCGCACGGGCCGGCGTGGTGGCAGCCAGGTACCTGCAGCGGCGGGCCAGCGGGGCCGGCGGGTCAGCCCCAGAAACAGGCGGCGTGCCAGCGGGGGAAGGCAGCCCAGAGAGGCGCGAGGCCTGAAGCGGTGGCTCGTCAATCTCCGCTTGAAAACGCCAGCGCGCAGCGCGAGTCGCCAAGCAGCAGATTTCTACCAGCAGTGACTCCGCAAACGTGACGGAAACTGGCCTTCCCAACAATACCAACCGGACGATAACAAGAAAGACAGCTAATACCATTAGTGCTCTTCAAAACAAAGAGCAGAACCAAATGCCACCAGGGCAATATAGAGCAGTCAGCAGCTGGCAGCACAGCCCGAGGAGGAGATATCTGGCCGCGGGCGGTCGCCAGCTAGCCCGTACCGCTTGGTCATGTCGACCATAACACGCTCCTGCTGAGTCAGCTGGGTGCTGAGCTGCTGGTTGGTGGTGAACAGACGCTCGCTCTCGCCGGCCGCCAGGTCCCGCTCCAGCTCCAGCTCGCGCTGCTGACGCACCGCCTCCTCCCGGCTCTCGCCCACCTGCCGACAGCGGACACGGCAGCCTTACAGCCCGGCGGCGGGCACGGCAGCCTTACAGCCTGGCAGCGGACACGACAGCCTTACAGCCTGGCAGCGGGCACGACAGCCTTACAGCCCATCACCCGCCGCCAGACCGCGTGATGCGGTCGTCACAGGCCAACATCATGTCTCCTGCCTACGGCTGCCGCCTCCTCCTCCAAACTCCGGTTCCCACCTGGAGCAGTCTAATTGCTGCTGCCAACATAATGCCTACTTCCCCACTTTCCTTCATACACGTCACGAGTGGCATCAGCTCCTATTATGCCTGGCCTGGTTCCATCTTGGATTTGGTACGCATCAACACTCCATAACTCCCGGCACTTAAGCCCATGGTATTGAGGTCGCGGTAACTCATTATACTGAATACGATACCACAGTGAAAAGGAACGTTTCATAAAAGGAATGCAAAAACAGGCCGCCAGTGCAGGCAAGTGCAGTGTCACACGTCCACCAGCCGCACCTTCTCCTCCAGCTGTCGGTTCTGGCGCTGGAGAGCGGCGTGCGCCTGCGTCAGATCTGACACCTGCGCCTGCAGCGTCTCCACCTGGGCGCGCAGCTGCAGCGTGCCGGCCTGCATCGGACTAGCCACCTGCCGGGCAACGCACACACTGCAGCCTCCACATCGCACCGGCAGGGAAAGCAGCGCGTCTGCGCACCCTCGCGGACACCTTCAGGTGGACTTTTACTACTATAAGCAGTCTTGCATGCAATACTTCCTACAAGTTACATCATCCCTTCACATATCTGAACTTGATGGCTGTTGAACTATCTGAACTTGATGAACATTGCACCTTCTCTGCGAGAGAACCGTGACAGCATAGGCCATCTTCAGCTGTCGGCTCCCGGCGTACGAACGAGCACGTGAAGCTCACGGGGCCGGGGTCGCACCGCCACACCGCGCGGATAGGCCCCTGCAGCCCCCCCCCCCCCACCGTCCTCCTCCGGCGCTGTCCCACCTGTCGCAGCATGGCGCCCGTCTTGGTGCGCAGCGAGCGGACACGACTGTTGAAGCTCATCTCGACGGTGGCGGCCTCTTCCTCCTCCTCCCGGATGGACAGCTCCGCCGGCTGGGCCAGCGCCCGCTGGCCGCACGCACACTGTCCGGTCCAGGCGGCACCGGTCAGCACCGCCGGCTCGCCCGGCCGCCGGCATGGGCGTTACCAGCCACTGTGTCCCGCCAGACAGCGCACGGTGGCTAGTATACAATGGCGTCGCCCACCGCCTCCGCCCAGAGGTGGCAGCGCGGTGGGTGATGTCGCGCACTTAAGCCAGAGTACCGCCAACCCCCGAACCAAAAGCCATGGGTCAGGCCACTGGACAGCCGGCGCCAGCAAACCAACCACAGCGAAGCGCCTAGTCAGGGCCCATCACGTCGAAAATACCCGCCTGCGGCCATACCACCAATGTAGCCGTAATCACGACATTAATCTACCCGCAATCACGACACTAATATAGCCGTAATCACGACACTAATATAGTCGTAATCACGACACCAATATAGCCGTAATCACTATAGCCGTAATCGCGACACCACGGACAACCGCTACGGATGCCGCACCACGAGTGGCTGCCGCTGTCGAGAGCAGTGCGCGGCGGGTAGCGGGCGGGCCGCAGGATGTCAGCACGCGGGCCCAGGCTCGACTGGCTACTGACCCGGTCCGCCCTGCGCTGCAGCTCCTCCTCCAGCTCGGCGATGCGTTGCGAGCGGCCGGCCAGCAGCTGCTCCAGATCCTCCTGGTGCGCCTGGCGACCCACGAGCACGCCTCAGCCGACGTCGCCAGTGGAGCGGTGACCATCGGCCGGGCCACTCTCGACACCACTCCCCGGTGGCAGCGGACACTCCGTGGTCACAGCGCCACGGCTCTCTGGGTGGCAAGCTCAATTCGCTCTACTTTCCACACTGGTCTTTTCCTAGGAGCCTCCAGGGCGGACCTGATGGCACGTGGCTACCGCCGACCAGACCGACCCGCTGTGGCGCCGGGGCAGCGGTGCCGCCGCCGCCAGTCGGGGCGGCCCGCTCACCAGATGGTCACGCAGCGTCTCGTCCCGCTCGGTGAGACGGGCCTCCAGCAGCGCCACCTGCTTCTGCAGCCGCTCGCTGGCCGCCTCCAGCTGCAGGAACTCGTCGCCACCCTCCTGCAGGTACTCGCGGGTCTCTCGCAGGTCCATGTCCCGGAACCTGGCGGCCGCAACCGACGCCGGCCTCAGCGATACTGTGATGCCGGGCGGCACGTCTGGGGCGGACGCTGGGCTCTGGGGCGGACCTGACGTCTGCAGCGGGCACCGCGATCTCCGGCGGACAGCGTGATGCCCGACGGACAGCGTGATCCCGGACAGACAGCGTGATCCCGGACAAACAGCGCGATCCCGGACAGACAGCGTGATCCCGGACAAACAGCGCGATCCCGGACAGACAGCGTGATCCCGGACAAACAGCGCGATCCCGGACAGACAGCGCGGTCCCGGACAGACAGCGTGATGCCGGGGAGCAGGGTGGCTGGTGCACCAGGACGCCATGGTGTTACGGGAGTCGAGCGCTGGAGGCTGGGTACGGCTCACGTGAAAGCATACAATGTCAAGCACATGACAGCCAACACGTGATAAGTTTCTGTGGATGATCTTGCCTAAGCACCCCATGGTCGCAGGTCAGACCTGCACCTGGCGGCTCCGATGACAGCACCATAAGCCACGTGTCTGTATACTGGCCACCCGAGGAGTACACAGACCGACGTCGAAGCGTCCGTACCTGAGATCATCTTGCAGTTTGGCCACCTGCTCCGTCAGCTGCGCCACTAGCGGGTCATCCGCTTTGCTCTCAAGATGTCGGCGACAGCGGGCCTCCGCTTCGTCCTGCGGCAGGCGGGCCGGGTCAGCGAGGGGCCGCACAGCCCCGGCTCCGCAGCGGACAGAGCAGGGGGTGGGCAGCGACGCCCGGTGTAGAGTGCCGGCAGACAGCCACCACACAGCCCCGGCTCCGCAGCGGACAGGGCAGGGGGTGTGCAGCGGCGCCCGGTACAGGGTGCCGGCAGACAGCCACCACACAGCGGCGGCCGGCCGCACCATCTACATCCGGATGCCGTGCAGCCACTGCTGACCGCGGTACGGCACGGACCGGCGCTGGCTGAACACGTCCGGCTGCAGGTCGGGTCACACTGGTCCGGCCCCGACGGCCGTCCAAGCAACACAGAATGCCTGATCTTCCGCTTGTTGGAACTACACTAATCGCGTCCCCACAGTTCGCGACACGCTGGCAGCCTTCAGCGCAGCGCACCAGTGACGGTCACTCGACCGCGGCTGGCCACCGAGCCCGGTCTCACAGTCTGGCAGCTCTGCAGCAGTGACGGTGGCTGGATGACAGCTTAGTCAGCCCATTCGGTCCTGCCACAGCTCACACCACACTGGCTGCGCGATAGCGGCTGCGCCTCCACCGGCCACTGACCAAGTCACGCTGCAGCTTGTCGCCGGCCTGGCGCGCCTCGGTCAGCTGGACGGCCAGCCGCGCCACCTCCTCCTGACTCTGGGCGGCGCGCTGCGCCAGCTGGCGTCGGTCGGCCGCCTCGGCCTCCAGCTGCTGCTCCAGCAGCTGGCAGCGCTGCTCGGCAGCGGCGGCTCGCTCCTGCGCCTCCTACCGGCCAGGCGGCGTCATCAGCGGGCATCGCCGTCGGGACAAACACGCAGAGATCGGCTCGGCGGGCGACTAACAAGCGGGGGCACCGGCGACGGCGACAGGCGGGAGACGTGCCCAGTGATGCACCACCGCACAAGCAGACGCCGGGCGGTCCAGTGATGCACCCCCGCACCGGCAGGCACCAGGCGGACCTACGTCATTAAGGCCATCGCAATCGTATTTTAGCCAACTTAGTTATGTCGGTGTCGGGAATAGCGGACGGAGCGTCATGGAGCGATCATAGTACAGTGGTTGGGGCGCTCCGCTCTAGACCTGCTGGTCTTGGGTTTGGGACCCTGCCACCCCACCATCGCATTACACATGATACATAATACATGCATCCATCTTGAAATTGTCCTGTTAGTCGGTGGGACGTTATTACGACGAGCGGACAAGCGGATATGCATTAGACCCCAACTATCATTATCATCAATATTTGGAAACGTATTGGTCGCTCTAACTGGTCTTTACTGATCCTTACTGAGCGCACTTCCACAGGTCCTTCCACGGCTGGTACCAGCACGGCCGCCACCCCACTCACGGCCAGCTCGTCGGCCTCGTCGTCGTCCGCCTCGTCCGCGTCGCCCCCGTCGTCGTCGCTGGCGGATGTGCGCCGCCGCTTGCGCGAGTACTTGGCCCTGAGGCTCTTGGCCACCTCGTTCATCTGGAGCTCCGCGCGTGACTCCATGTAGCGCTCCGTCTCTTGCATGCGGTCCCTGCCGGCGAGGTGACGTCACACCGTGGCGCCGAGCTCCCGCGCGGCCGCGGCGGGATGACGTCACACCGTGGCACCGAGCTCCGCGCGGCCGCAACAGGGTGACGTCACACCGTGGCGCCGAGCTCCCGCGCGCGGCTGCAGCAGGGTGACGTCACACCGTGGCGCCGAGCTCCCGCGCGGCCGCGGCGGGATGACGTCACACCGTGGCACCGAACTCCCGCGCGGCCGCAACAGGGTGACGTCACACCGTGGCGCCGAGCTCCCGCGCGCGGCCGCAGCAGGGTGACGTCACACCGTGACGCCGAGCTCCCGCACGCGGCCGCAGCCCCGAGAGGAGCGCGCACATTAGCGGGAGTGGTGAACCGTGACAGAAACTGGGAACGGAACGGGCTGCATAGTACAAATGAAATGACAACGTACGATACAGAAGGCGCGACGCGATGCGCTCATGCCCCGGTCAGTGGTTCGCAAACGCGGGCCAGTCTTGAGCTGACGACAATGGAGACGGTGATGCTAGCCGGGGTTCGTGGACTTGTTCGGACGCGTGGCCATGTAACGCCCATGCTGTGACCAATGCAACCATGGCGCTGCTCAAACACGACGGAAGTGGCGGGCAAGGGGGAAACAATTTGTCCGCCAGCGCAGAGCCCTCTTTTCTTGTCTGAGCACGCGTCGAACACACCAGCACGGCAAACCGTGCGGACTCATCGTTGGCCGGGTTCGCTCCAGCCTGACGCTGCCCTGGCCGGCCAGCGGCGGCAGGCAAGTCAACTCACTGCCAGTCCTTCTCGATCTGGACCATGTGCTGGGCGAACTCCTCGCACAGCTCCTGGCGGATGCGCGCCTCCAGGCCGGCGTTCTCCCGCTTCGTCTCCACCAGCTCGTGGCGCAGCTTCTCCACCAGGTCCAGCAGGTTCTGCCACGCGGCGGGGCGAGGGACGTCAGATCGCGCTCACCCAAACCCCCCGCCGGGGAGGCATAATTTTTCAGTCTCAGCCGAATCCAACACCGAATCTGGCGAGGGGAGGGAAGGGGCAGGTTTCGGATAATGCTCCATTAACCCGAAAACCAACATTTAGGCTCCTGAGCATGGGAAAGCGGTACAGAATCCCGCTTAGATCTGCCAGTAGGTTAAAGTTGCTGTTACGATTTAGTGAGGAACAAAAGCGAACCGGCAAAAGGTTAACCACGACCACAGTTCAGGGGTTGTGTCCAGTTCAAACGTCAGGACGATCGAGCCGAAGGGCAGGGCGATCGGGTCAAGCGCCAGGCCACGATCAAGAGTGGGTCAGGGTCACGGAGGCGGCACGGGCCGAGCCGGGATCCGCCATGGGTCCGCCGCCTGCACGACCGACGCCAGCCACCACGGCGCCGCCCACCGGCCTGAGGAGCACCGACGGCTCCAGGCGGCCGCGCCAGCCGCCCCTCACCTGGTGCTCGTCCCCCTGCGTCTCGTCGAGCGCGGTGACGTCCAGCAGCGGCCGCGGCCGGCCGATGGCGGCGCCGACGGCGGCAGCCGCCACCTGCACCGAGCGGCGTACCATGGTGGAGAAGCGCGACGGGGCGCGCCGCTTCTCCACCGGCTGGATCGACACCTGCCGCCGGCCCGGGCACGGGTCACCGCGCGCCGGTGTCGGCGCCACAGCCGGCGGCTCAGTCCCCTCCGCAGCTGGGTGTCGCGAGTTAGGCCTGGTAGCGGTTCGGGTGGCCCAGTGCGACCTCACCCACACGTTCGCCTCGTTCTGCCCCGGGTCATCTGGATGTGCCGGCCATCAAAAGTACAGCGGCAATTCTCCCGTCCCCCGAAAACATGTCTCCGGCCTCACCCAACGAACTTCATGACGTCCCACAGCTAGCGGTCGCGACAAACAGGCGCCCAGAACAGACCACGAACGCAGACACAGGGCACTGCCCCCGCACCGCGCGCCCGACCGTCAACCTCGGCTACACGCGCACGCGCACACAACAAGCGCGCACGACAGCGCCCGCGGTGCTCACCTGTTTGGCGAGCGCTGAGAACTTGAGCACCTGGATGGTCTCGTCGAACACGACCGGGCTGGGGCTGACGTTGACGATCATGGTGACGCGCGCCGCCTGGCCGCAGAAGTAGGACTGGAACAGCCGCGTCAGCTTGCTGTCCCGGTACGGCACCAGGGCCGGGCCGCCCGCCGCCGCCGCCGCCGTCTTCGTCTGGTTCTGTCTGCATGCCGGGAGGGTACCGGTCAAGAGCCGCAGCTGCACAGGGACAGAGGGGTCGGTAATACCATTTGAAGCGGAAACGCGCGCACGGCGCCTGTCGGGGGACGCAAGCCGGGTGGAGGGGGAGGGGGGGGGGGGACTGCTCTGTGAGGAAAGAGGGTGGCAGAACACACCTACAAGGAGCATGTCCAGGGCACCAACGGGAAGTGGCCGCGCATCGCGACGGCGAGCGAGCGGAAAACGCCGCCTTCTCCTGACGCTCCCAGTCAGGCCGAGCTGGCCAGCTGCCCTCCGACGGAGCCCGCCTTCACGAGGCGGGAGGTGTGGACCATCTGGCCGACCGTCTCCGAGCGTCAGCGGCCGCGGAAGCCAAACGGGCTCCAAACGTGCCCTCTGCCAAAGGGCGCTGGCAGCCGGGGCGGCCGTGGGAGTCCAGGCAGGCAGGACAAGAGCTGCCGCTACTATCGCCAGCAGCTGGTTTCCAGAGGTTTTCACCCACCTGGTCCCAGCAGAGCTGTACGTCCATTACCAGGTAGAAATTTCTTGCTGGGAGGGGTAGAGATCGTGCCGTGCGCCCCAGACGCACGCTTGCTGGTAGGGATAGAGATCGTGCCCGAAACGCACACTTGCTGGGAGGGATAGAGATCGTGCCCTAGATGCACGCTTGCTGGGAGGGATAGAGATCGTGCCCCAGATACACACTTGCTGGGAGGGATAGGTATCGTGCCCTAGATGCACACCTGCTGATGCACACTTGCTGGGAGGGATAGAGATCGTGCCCCAGATGCACGCTTGCTGGGAGGGATAGAGAGCGTGCCAGTCTGCCCCAGACGCACGTTTCGCAGTGCAGTTGGCTCTCTCGTGGCCTAGAATTCCGACGCGGCTAGGGATCTAGCATAGTAAAGGTGGATCAAAAGTTTTCAAAGCCCGGAGGTTAATCAAAGAAGCTGTTATAATGAGGTGTAAAGACCATTAAGCCCCAGCTCAAAGCCCACCTTAACCCATCTCCATGAAACAGAGGACCTCGTTGGCCGTCACCAACTATGAGCCGCACACCGTGGCGCGTGGCGGTAACGTAAATGATCCAGCAGCAGCACCCCGAGCAGAAGCACACATCACATTACCGACTGCCTTAGTCCCGACCGGCCGTACGCTTCCGCGCGGCCGCGCTACGCCACGGCCCTTTCACTATCGATCCGAACGGATTTGGCGAAACAACGTTCTTCCAGACAGCTGAAAGCATAGCGTTAGTTGCGGACGAAATAATGTGCTACATGACAGTCTGTAAATGGTATATATGCACCACGCCGCGCAGGGAACTGGCGCTGTCCTTAACTAACGCCCATATTCTAACGCTATCAGTATAGCTACATATACCCCAACGGCTACCCAAGTGCTGTACGGGGCGGACGACTCCTTCCACAAGGCCACATGTAACCGGGGGGACTCCTCCTCGCACTAGCCGCGGTTCAGCGCCGTCGCCCCTTGACACCCTAAGGCGCCACGCGCAGCCAGGCACCCCGAGCGGAGACCCGCAGACCGCCCAGCCGCGGTGCGAGCAGCAGTTTGGTAAACCCGAGCGGGGCCCCCTTTGGGCCCCACGCCTCCGAGTATTTTGGCCAGAGTGGAGCGCTGCAACGTACCGCGCCTGACCCGCATGGTTTCGGGAATGCTCACTTCACCACGACAGCGAGGACGCAAACGCAGGTCCTGATAATGATCGCTAAGTTATCTATTAACACATGTAACAACGCTACAAGCACCAGCATCGCCACACCTTGGAGGAAACAGGCCAGCGAGGTCTGTCCACAAGACGAATGGAGCCTCCGACTTGCCGATCCCAAGACAGATGAGTCCACGACCAGGCCACTGACACGCCCGGGGTGGACGAGCCGCGCCAATGCTGTCTCCTACCTCATAGCCTTCATGCAGCGACCGAGCACCATCAGCGAGGTGTTGATGTTGCCGGCCTCCTTCATGCGCTGGCCCAATGCCAGGGTCTTCTCCACCCGCTCAGAGCCGGCCAGGTCACACACCGATAGCCTGCGGCATAGATGGGGGAGGGGAGGGGGTCATGGCCTAGCCACGCACAGGCAACCTGAGGCACACGAGCGGAGCATTACGCCACGGCTAAGCTGTCCTGTGAGGGGACCTGGCACCGAGAGGGGGAAGGGGGAGAGGGGGCAGCGATCACGCTACGCCAGAGCATCCCGGGCACAACCTCGACTGAGCGCTGTGACCGACGACAGCGGTGTCCCAGACCGGGCCGCCCAGACGGCAGCGCCGGCCAGACTCACATGCTGATGCGAGCCACGCTGGGGTTGTCCGTGTCCAGCATGCGGATCAACTTGACGGTGAAGACGCAGTGCGAGCGGCTCGAGTTGTGATTGAGCCGGTTGGAGGCGAAGTGCAGGTTCTGCCGGCCAGCGCGCAGCACCTGGCAGGCCTCGTCTGCGGTGCGGACCTGCACGTGACGCAGCCCTGCCGATGGGGGGGGGGGGGGGGTGGGCGTCAGGGCGCCAGCCGGCGGACATTCATCGAACGTCAGCGAACCCAGCGGACGGCTTGGACGGGCGCTGCACGAGACGGCGAGCGCCACGCAGACATGAGGGGGCCAAACGGCAGCGGCTGGGCTGGGCTGGGCGAGGCGGACGCTGACGCCGGGCAGTGTTACGGACGGCCCACAAGCGCTGTCCGTGCATGTCGTTGGCAAGCCGCGTCAGCGAGCCTGATTTCATTATTGAAAGAGGATATAAACACAGGCCAAACAATCATCCGTCGACCGTGAGTCAACCGAGAGACGAGCTCTGCCGGACGCTGAACAGTGGCCGCGCTCAGCAGGAGCAGCCTCACCGCCCAGACGGCCGGACCTCGTCACAGGCCACAGAACAGCTCCGCACCTTTGACGAAGGTGTTGCCCTTCTTGTCCAGGCCGAGGTGCAGAACGGTGCGTCGCTTCTGGGAGGACGGGATCTTCTCCAGCAGGTCGTAGACGTACTCGTTGTAGATCTCCACGAACGAGACCCACACCGAGAACCTGACGGCACGGGTCCACGCTCCGATCAGGACGGTCGGTACGCGCTGTCCTCGGAGTCCTCGCCGCGTGGCTGACGAGGGAGGAGCTCCGCCCCATAGCACCAGAGACTTCTGACAAATCAGTGGGCTATTCTATCGGGAATACCAGGTGGGAAGGTCGGCATCGACCAGCCGGGCCCGCCCAACACTTCGGCGAATGCAGGACAGATGGAGGTGGTGTTCAGTGCCGGGACAGGCGACGGGTCGGGAGGGGCGACGGTCGCGCCCGACCCGGGACCAAGCCAGGACGCGTGGAGGTGGTGTTCAGTGTCGGGACAGGTGACGGGTCGGGAGGGGCTACGGTCGCGCCCGACCCGAGACCAAGCCAGAACGCGCGGGGGTGGTGTTCAGTGCCGGGACAGGTGACGGGTCGGGAGGGGCTACGGTCGCGCCCGACCCGGGACCAAGCCAGAACGCGCGGGAGTGGTGTTCAGTGTCGGGACAGGTGACGGGACGGGAGGGGCGACGGTCGCGCCCGACCCGGGACCAAGCCAGGACCCGTGGAGATGGTGTTCAGTGCCGGGACAGGTGACAGGTCGAGAAGGGCTACGGTCGCGTCGGCGACGCCCGACCCGGGACCAGGTCGGGCCCACACGCACCTGGTCTCCCGCTGGTTCTCCATGCTGACCGAGGCCGGTTCCCGACACCGGGCCTCGATCTCCGGACACTTGAGGTCGCTCAGTGACTCTGGCAACAACAGGTGGACGTCACACAGCCGTCTCCTGCCCGGCCGCCAGCGGCAGCCCGCGGGCTGGTCAACTCTGCTGACTTATGTCGACGACGACGATAAAACATCCGATTTATCGACGGATGGTATGTCGAGGAGCGCAAGTAACCTAGGGAGATTTTCGCGCAAGGTCAGACAAAAAGAGACAGACAAACCATGATCTGCTATTTCAACACCGACCCGCTGAAAACAGCAATCAATACCACTGGACACCAATTTAAAACGGGAATTGGCGAGCAAAAAAAATATGTATACATGCTCTTAGCACGTAAGATAGTGCGTGCAGAGAGAAGTGTAAATGCACCTGCCGATAAAAGCATTCGCTACTTTTCATTATGTCTCGATTTACAATTCAGCCCACGCAGTGAACAACGTTTCACCAAATCACCTGCTCCTGATTCCTAGCCTCGCACCAGTTACGTGAGCCAGTCCGCTCTCCTGCTGCAGTAGAGCTCTACTCAGCCGCAGAAGCGGAGAGGACTCTCTCCCGGCTGCAGTAGAGCTTTACTCGGCCGCGGAAGCAGAGAGGATTGCTCCCGGCTGCGGTCGAGCGAGCTTCACTCACCCACGGAGCCGGCGAGGCTCTCCTGGCTGCGGTAGAGCTCTATTCAGCTGCGGAAGCGGGGAGGATCGCTCCCGGCTGCGGTAGAGCTCTGCTCAGCCACGGAAGCGGGGAGAACATCTCCCGGCTGCGGTAGAGCTCTACTCAGCCGCGGAAGCGGGGAGGATCGCTCCCGGCTGCTTCCGGTAGAGCGAGCTTCACTCACCCATGGAGCCGGCGAGGCTCTCCTGGCTGCGGTAGAGCGAGCTGGCGGCCAGACTGTCCTCGGAGCCGTGCGAGGCGCCCAGCTCGGCCGACTCCGGCTGACAGCCCAGACGCAGCGTGTCGCGTTTCAGACGCTGCGCCGCCTGCTCGTCGCGCGCCGAGACGCGACACACTTCGCCGAAGCCGCGCGGCTGGATGTCCAGCCGGGCGTACAGCTGGTCGCCCACCGAGTTGAAGATGACGTCGAGCGCGCGCGGCAGCAGGCCCGGCTGCTCCGGCGAGCCTGCCGGCCGGCGAGCGGCCGTCATCGCGGGCCACGGGACGGCGCTAGCCGGGCCAGGGACGTGTCACTAGCCGGAGCCAGCGCTCGCGGCACGCGTGACGGGCCGTCACGCCGTGACGTCGAGCGTCACGCCATGCGAGATCACAACAGGCCCGCTTCCCGCTGACACACACCGTCGCAAGATATTTACACCGCTACGTCGCAGGCACGAAATGCTACATACCAAAGGCTGTAAGCCCTACAAACCGAACCTGTCGCGACATGACTACCTGTGACGTCACAGGTAAATGCCTCGGGGTGGAGTTAACCAACGAAAAGACGCTTCCGGCAGCCAGGCAGCTGCAGGGGGTTGCCGTCGTCAAAGGCATTGGGAGCTGTATAATGTCCGCACACCGTGAAAACCTTCCTGATGCCTGTCTGCCACCCACCGGCAAGACGCGCCTAACGCTGGAACAGTCATTGGGTATTCCAACACACCATCTACCTCCTCAAACGACAAGGACCCGCCTCCAGAACACACGACCACAGGCGTTCAAGCGACCACAGGCTGGCCACGCCGGCGGGCCGCGGTCGCCTACCCTGAGCAGTGTACGTCTTGCCGGAGTTGGTGGCCCCGTAGGTGAAGAGCAGGCAGCTGTGGCCGTTGATGAACTCGGTGATGTGGTTCAGCGTCGTCTGGTTGAACAGCTGCTGCTGACTCGTCTCGGGACGGAAGATGTGGGTGAAGGTGTACCTGCGCGGGTGTATCACGGGCTCAGCTGTGCATCAGCTCAGCAGAGGTGATCAGCGCCGCCACCACACCGCCGGCCGTCGCTGATCGGGCACCTCTGCGTACGTGCGCATGTATAACGCGACCAGGAGTGTCAGTGTCAGCCAAATCTCGCCTGACACGGCGTCTGCAGCGGTGCGAGAGCGCCAGTCCGTACTAAGCAGGTCGTCCCACGGACGACAAACGGTCGCACAGGACGTGCCGGTAACGTTACCTGCTACACCCACACCAACATCCGCCACCTGACACCACAGATAGCAGCACTGAAAACTGCACTGAGAGCACTTTCATCATTTTGACATGGCAATTACCGGTGTGCCAGTTTGCCGTTGCCGTTCATTCCGTTCTTGTACGTGGCCGAGTCTTTGGGAGCATTCATCACCAGGTGCACGTTATTAGGTATTTCCAGCACACGGCTCGTCTGCAACAGAACGGGACGTCGGCTGTGAGATACACAATGGTTCATCCCCGAAACGGTGCGACGGCTGTACCGTGCTGCCTGCGACGCAAACACGAAACTACAACAAGAGAATAAAGGTTGACCGCACGCATCCCTGCTTGACAGCTTTCTTTCATCACTGACAGGGCGTCACCAATTTTGTTTGCACAACATTTTCTAAGGGAAGCGGCACAACTTGCGCAACACCAACAACCCACACAATTAAACGGCAATGTTTTAGTTAGGTGGACTGCACCCTGTGGGAAAATAACGGGATTGCCGGAGCAAGCCACAGCCACCAAAAACAAAACTAGCCGAATCAAAAAAAAAAAAAAATCACTGGCAAAATCTCCCGCGATACGACCAGAACTCCAGGTGGCACGCCATATCATTGCTTTTCAACGCATTTTGCCGCCAGCAAATTCTTACTGGGGAAAGGAACATGCAATGGGTTGAGAATATCTACCAGAGAACGCAGGAGTACAGAAAAGAGGCATACTGCAAGCCAAACAAAACCATGAATAAACAAACGCATGAAACGCAATACCCACGTCATTAAGGGCACAGTATATGATCATTTAACGCAACACGCAGTTAACAAGGATAATAACATCTCAAGCGAGCACGATTATGAAGGCACCAACGTCACTTGATCCCCCCAAGCACCATCTGCACTACGTGCCTTAGCACCCTCTCCCGTAACCTCCACAAAACCCTTCCTACACATCCTCCACCACCTCTGCACCCTCTCGAGCACCCCTCTGGGCAGCGTTCATTATTCGACCATTTGGTCGCCAGTGATGTCGATGTTTTTGCACGCTCTCACAACCCTGCGCTAGTACTCCCTGTCTGTCGCTCCTTCCCTTGCTCAAAACCGGCCAATCAGCACTGAACCGTGAAGCGGCCGACCCAGCAGCTGGGCACCTCGATCTCGGCACGTGGCCGGCCGGGTCACATGTCATGACTACGGGTTCAAGAGCAACAGAGCAGCAGCCAACGCACTGTGCGTGCGTAGGTCGCCGAAGAGAATTCTGGTAGCATTCTATTTACCTCCTGCACAGCTCACTGGATGACTTTTGGAATACTGCCTGGGCAGCATCCCCATTGCTTTTTCCGCCCAACATTCCACTGCCACCCTGCCTAGCACCTATGCGGGACAGTTCAGCAATCCCTACTGCCCATCTCGTCCCCCCCCCACGCATCCACCTCGGTGCCCCGTCCAGCACCCCAGCAAGCGCACCCTCACACACTGTACCTACCACAGCGTCGGTATCATCGCCACAGTCGCCGTCCAGCTGGGGCCGCACGCGCAGAAACACCCGCAGCGCAGTGCCGGCGGTGGCCTGCTGCTCCAGCTCGGCGGTCAGGTCGCGCCGCGCCGGCGCCAGGCCCGGCAGCAGGGCCGATGAGGCGCGCGCCCGGCCCGTGTAGCCCGACACGCGCGCCTGCAGGTACGACACGTCCGACGCCGATGGGCGTGCGAACGCCATGGCGGCGCTCTGCGGAAGCACAGAACAGGGGCGGCGTCAGGGACCAGTGTCACTACCGGCGAGGGCAGCGGGACTACAGCAGCACAGAACAGGAGCGGCGTCAGGGACCAGTTTCGCTGCCGGCGAGGGAAGCGGGGTGCTGTGGAACCAAGGTGCGAGTCCCAACCGAAGTATTGTGGCTCAGTCTTACTTCGTAAAAATACCTTCTGGGGTTCGTTGGCTGAAAAGTACAGGAGGAAATCCTGTCCTCAAAGTGGCGTCACCTTTAAAAACCGCCAAAGACATTGCAATCGCTTAAATGAGAAAGGCCTTCAAATCTTGGTTTTTCAGTATTATGAGTCCAAAGTTCTTATAACAGTCACACTGATGATTAAGTCCAAAATTTTGATTGATGGTTTCTCAGGATCCAAGCTCATGCTAAGCAGTGCTTGCTGCGCGAGCCCTGAGCTCTTGGTCCAACTGTGACACTCCAAGTCTTTTGTGGTGGAACTTTCCATGCTGCAGTGCTCAGCAAGGTCCATGTCACCCTCTGACTTCAGCACACAGCCTGCCTGGTTGTTGCCAACAGCCCTGGGTTATCCCAGTCAGCGACATACATCAAGTGCTCAAAGTGACTCGACCTCACCCCATGACAGGGATGTCCATTTTTGTTCATGCCATCATGTGGTTTACTGCCTATTGTTCTTTTGCTCACTCACACTAAGCCATTCAGCATTATGCCCCAAAGCAACAAAACAGGCACTATATGTGCAGCTAATCAGCTGGGCAGGTTAGATGTGAAGGTTTTGGGTCAAAAGGGCAGCTCAAGTCCAATAGCATTAGCTTATATTTGTACCCTGCATACCCAACTAGATGAGCTTTGGCATGCTGACTGCAACAGACTTGATAGTGGGAAATGGACATACATACCTTAACCTAAGGCCCAGCATGAAGCAACTACAACTACAGAATTATGATTATTTGACTTTTGGCACATCTACTGCTGAAGTCATCTTGTGGCCATAATGACAATTTACCTAGCTATATGATTTTGGTTCACAGAAAATTATAAACATATAAACTAACACACAGCTATACATTGTTAAATACTAAGGCCAAGCAGCATAAAACAATGGATATACATGTTTGTGAAATGATTTGCCTGACATTACCAGGTAAGGCACATCGGACATAAAGTCAAACTACAAATGCTTCAAACATTTGTGCTTACCTACCAAATCCTGTTAAAACTTCAATATCACTAACACTGACCAGCATTTGTGTTGCACTAGTGATCTTACAATGTTCATTAGAGGAGGGATGAAAACCCTAATTCCCACACATTCTCATTACTTTCAGTCATTATTCTGGTCACCTATTTCTACACCAGACCATAATTTCATTCCTAGGTTCCAGGGGGCATACAAGTATAAGCAACAATCATATTATTAATCACCAAACCCCTATCTGCTGCCTAGGTTGAGCAACTGAATTTAAGCAAATAAATTAAAATTAGCTCTCAAAAGCAAATTCATTAGACCTACATCCATCTTGGCATAGGAACAGTCACACCATGCTAGTCCTACTGCTGATACTGAGCATCAGGTCAATCAATTATTGGGATGTGCCCGCAAGCCATCCTGCAAAAAATGATGCTACACTGAATGTGTCACGTGTCCAATGGAGCAGCAGCATCCCTGAATGTGTCCTGTGTCCAATGGGGCGGCAGCATCCTTGCAACAATAACATCACAAATATGGCATAAATCTCTCTTGGCACATGGGTTACCACAATTTGCATGGCAGAGATTCAACATTCCAAGGAATTTTCATGTTAACAATATGTCATGAGGACATGCTCAAAAGCATTTCTTGAACAAAGAGGACTCCAGATCAGGCTGTCACTATTCGTAATACAGGCATTATTTCCACTAAACCTCTCCCACACAAGATATTTCGTTGAAAATGCAGGGAAATCCCATCATAGCCAGGCCAGCAGTTCTCAACTAGGAACCAAAGTAACTTTACAATGCTATGGTGCTGTCATGAAGATTGGCTTGAAAAACTAGAAGCTATATATGGGGCGTTAGGCGAACAAGAGTGCAAGTTCATTACAACAATACGCGTCAGAAGTCAACTAAATGGGAGCAAAATGACCTTAGTAATCGGCGCGCCCCACAACCCCGAACTATCATAAGACATCTACTTATAACGGGTCGTCGAGAAGTATACACTAAATGTGGCCTCATCTCACAGGTCGAACATTTTTACAACAGATGCGCAGTAGTTACCTTTCCGATGTGTTACTTGTACCAAAGAGTACCTATGATGCCCAGGCCCGTATCGTCCTTGTGTCAGCGAAATCCACGGTTTGGCGAACCCGGCGAACAGCCGGTTTATGTTTTGAACCTGCAGCCAATCAGGGAGAAGCTTTGTCTTTTGTAACGGTTCCTCAAAAGGTTCTCCAACACAACAGCTCATGGTGACTAATTTATACTCACATTTACCTAACCTAGTGGTGGTCGGGAATTTGAAAAGCCACTTGTCCTGTCCACTCCGGTCTCTTCAGGCTCCCGTTTAAATAACAGAACAGTCCCACATTAGGGATGTAATCGGTATGGGATATCATAAACGATGTCTGCCCAGTGTATATCGAGCCTAGATTTAAACTGCCTAACTGGGGTTGACGATACCACTGCATACGAATGAGCGTTCCAATCAGGGACACGGGAACTATTTCAAGTTGGGGGGAGGGGGAGCATACTCCAAAATGCTCAAATGGACTCCCTAAGATTACATAGTGGGCCCGCTACATCCCGGGCTGGGCCCTTTGCAGTCAATAATGGACTATCTACAGATCAGAATGGCCCCGTATGGCACAGGCGTAGAAACGTTTCAAGGCGGGGGGGGGGGGAGGGTCAGTATAAACTTCAGGAATTTTTATAGGCAAGCAAGCTCAGCGACCGGAGGCAGGGGTAGAGATGGGGTACATTGCCCGCTTTTATTTCACATAACACAGTTCGGAAATAATTAAATGCCGCGGTTCCTGTGCTAGATGTACACCTCCAGCTGTTTCACACCGGTGCACAATCTTGCCTTTCCGACTTATCCATGCCATTTGGCAAATATGACTATCCGGCTATCTGAGATCATTCGTCCAACTTGAACATTGTTTTCCCTGGGAACGCAATATACTATCAGGGGGTAAGCATTTCGGGCCATTAGGGAGGCATGCCCCTCAACAGGAGGCATTGTGGAGGCATCTGCATTTGCCTCCAAGATACAACCTAGACACAGGCCGGTCGGAACTTTGAGTGCTAATAAATGGCTTATAGGCACCAGAGTTTGCATGCGCCTATACTTCGCCGGCTGCTTTTCAAGGAATAAAAGTTGCCACAGCATTTTAGGCGGAAACAAAGTCGGAAGCTTCAAATGCTTACTGCCAAAAACATTGTGACAAAAACATGCAGCCAGAGTTTCTCCTGTAAAAAACCAGATCACAGGGCGGAGGTCCTTCTTTCGGTATTCCTTATCTAAGCTCTGCTCCTGTCCGCCGTCGACGGCCACTGGCCAGGCCCGGCTGTCCCCACACGGCTGACTCTGATCGAACCTTACATCTGAAACGAGCCGAACAAATCGAACGAAACGAAACGAACGGACCAATATCCGAGAGCAAGGCAGCACTGCATTCAGGGCCATGTAATGGCATAGGACATCTATGTTCTGAAGGTTATGCTGAGCTGCATCATTTTCATCATGAAGAAAACATCCATAACTACCGTAGATGGCTCCCCATTGATCACATATTCCTCTGGACTTTTCGCAATTCATACGGATATTTGTAGAAGTGTTTGCTAGACAAGTTACCACTTAACATTATTTTATTAACAATTTGGGACCGACCGACTGGCCGGGCCTTACATCTAACGCAATCCTTATGCATTTTTTAAATACTCTTCCCAACCAATCGACAGCACCTTCACCTATGCCCCCCCAACACCCGTTCAACAGCCTCCACCAGCCTATTCATCATTTGGCGGATCATTGCCCGCTCCAGCCTCGTGCGCTCCTCGTCAGGCGTGGCCAGTAAAGCACGACAGCGCGAGAGCAGCGGCTGTCGATCCGGCTCCCTCGGTCGAGGCCGGGGTAGTGGCTGCTGTTTCTGCAGTGGCTTGGAGACGGGGCGTGTGGCAATAGATAGAAGACGATCTCGCGATCTATACCGCCTTGGTCCTTGGCATCAGACACGTAAAGCTTTGTCCCTGCCGTCTGCCGAAGTCTTAATAAGGGCGCCAGTATTTATTTGTGTAGATTGTCGTTATATCTGACGAACGCGAGAATACACCATGCCGGAGCCGAAATGCCCAGGCGGAGTATCAGGGGCGGAGTATGCCCAAGCGGAGGCGGAGTATGGACAGAGTATGTGGCCATGGCCACGAGTTATATAGTGGCTCTTGAACACTCTTGCATTCACTTCTTTTGACACTGTGTGAGATGATATTTTTCAGCGACCCTCACTCTAATGAACTCGCATTCCCTATCAAAACTAGTGCACTTGCAAATCAGTGAGAGGGGTTTCTCTTTATACATTAGTAGATGTGCATTTGGTACCACAAAATTATAACATTGTGAATAGGAACCATGTTTTCTTGAGCATATTGTAACAGTGAAAACAAGAACGGTGTTTTGAGGTACTGCATTTTGAAGTGCATTACAGTAGTTCACAGATGACCTAGGAAATCATGTACGCAATTATTGTTGTGGTGCAACTAACATTACTACTGCGAATAGACTGACATTATGCTGTAGATGTCTAAAAACACAAAAATCTCACTCGCGTGAGTCTGCAAGTGCAGTCGGGCACAGTTTTTAAACCGCATTGATAATCATGTTTGCCTCGCGTTGGTGACAGGCCATGCATTCAGGCCACCTTTTTGGGGAATGCAAGCTTGACTCCAGAAATAGTGCAGGTAGCGTTCAATCCACGCGAACCATTTGGTAAACAGTATGACGGGGTGCTGGTCTGAGACTCATAATTAAATGAACAAACACAGTCTCGTGATGCCAAATTTCATCCAAAAGTGTCGGAGAAGAGCTTTCGGCCCTGGGCCTTCCTTGAGCATCCATTTTGACAAAACGATAGTCAAACGTTAAATTCGCGTGCTCAAAAAACATGCACACATAGCGGAATGAGAAGTCCATGGTGAAGATCATTACACAGATACAAATATGACACATTGGGTACTAGATACATAGACACCGTACACGCGTCATATCGTTTCCAAGTGTACAGTTTTCATGACGCTTTTGACAATTTCATCTTACATATTACTTTTACACGATACATCTTCATTAATCCAGGTCCTCGCGGCTGACTTCACCGCAACATACGTACGGGCTTCTTGAAGCTAGGTCCCAGATCTAGGACGACCGAAAAAATGACGCCGCTCATGGGACATTTGTGGGACGTGGCTAGGGGCTAGGAGGAGGTGTCCGTGGTCTAAGAATACTTCCTGAAGTCTAGAGAACGACCTCATCACTCGCCCTGATTCGCCGTTTTTCATAACGTGGGCTGATTGGGGGTGGGGATGGGGGTAATGCGACCCCCTTGCGTTTCCGAACCAACGAGAACAGACCTCATTGAAAAGAACCGGTTGACTGGTTTCAACGTGGTCTCATAATTGGTACTCGGTTTTATGCTGTTAGTTTAATAATTAAGCCATTATGGCATGATAAAGGCAGAGTATTCCAGAACATCGATTTTTTAGCTTTACAATATCATACTTCGAGACGATGCCGCATAGTGACACATAACTTAAACAGATATGCTTTTTGTTCAATTTTGAGTACATGAGGCTGTATTTTGATGTGTTTTGAACGTACATTTATCATACATGACTTTGTTAATGTGACGTCGGCTCGCGCGCGCATTCCGCGGCATCGTCGCTTGCCACCTGCCCACCCGCTCCGGCCGTAGATCTCTGCGTCGTGTCCCTCAGAAACCATCGCTGCTCCGAAAGCAGGAAAGCTAGAAACACGTTCTTGCTGTTACAACGCACGCAATAAGTGCCTCGAAAGATTCTGAAATTTGAGCGCGTTTGCACATGCCGGAGAAGCATTCTAAAAAACCTTAGAGGTGTTGCATCAACATCCCCAATGGGTGAAAGTCAATTGCATGAAAAAGCACCTCAAACCATGGAGTGGCGGCGCCTGGCGACTTAAAAGTGTTCCTGAGATCTGAAAATATTTTCTAAGTCTACAAAGAAAACCGTATAGAGACTGGGTGTTCAAGATGTTGAAGGGCGCCTCTAATTGGTCCATATGGCGACCCGGACGGATAATCGTGAACTGCATGCACACACCTGACGTATATCCATTGTTTCGTGTTACTATAACTCCTAACCAGCTCCGAGAATCACCCTCAAAACTGAACAAGTAAAATATGGGCCCACCACGAGCGTTCCTTTTCCGCCGTCCCCACCGCCAGTCAGAAAGCGTCCGAGAGCTCAAACACAAACTGTCGCCTCTGTGCAGATGAGCTGTCGCACGCGGGCTGTCAGATGTCCTTTCCCTGGCGAAACATCGGAGCCATTCATGATTCACGAAAGCCAAAAGTTTATTCATGTGACACCGTTCACCAGATTGAAGACGCAAAGGTGCGCCTCGCTCCCAGCCGCTGCAGTCGTCGAACATCCTGCACACCATTGACTGCAGCTTGGCTAAGCCCCAAAGACGCTGTGCTCGCAACCCAGCAAAGCACCGGCTACCTTGGTGCTTTGGAGTGCAGCTAATCACGGACTTAAACACCGCTTGCTTTCAACATCTCTTCTAGAGCCGTTTACACTTGCGAGTTCGCCAGACGACGTCGGCTGCGTTGCTGATATTCAAGAGGTGAATGGTAGATGGGTCCGCACCAACGAAGACAGGCAGACTGGCTGCGGCGGATGCATCCTTTGTAGTGGATTGCTGAGCCGACTGCCTTCCATGAACTGTACTGGAGGTAAGAGAAAATGCTGACGTTGTCCAGAGCGTTGGCAGTCGTCATCTAGTAGACTGGTGCTTCCTGACTGCGGCCGAAACTCTAGAAGCGAGGACGTTGGGGTCTAACTTGACGAGGAGGACCAGTTGAGCGGATTTACGTGGAACCGGAGGAAGGAGGACCCATCGAACCGGAGGAGCCGGAAGAGCCGGACGGCGGAGGCCCCATCGAGCCGGAAGACCCGGAGGAGCCGGAAGAGCCGGACGGCGGAGGCCCCCATCGAGCCGGAGGAGCCGGAAGAGCCGGACGGCGGAGGCCCCATCGAGCCGGAGGACACCGGAGGAGCCGGAAGAGCCGGACGGCGGAGGCCCCATCGAGCCGGAGGAGCCGGAGGACC